GGTGGTGGCGGCGGCGCACGCCTTTAATCCCAGCATTTGGGAGGTAGAGGCAGGTGGATCTCAGTGGGTTTGAGACCAGCCTGGCTCCAAAGCTACACAGAAACCCTGTCTCAAAAAACAAATCCCCGTTCCCCAAAGAAGAAACAAAGCAAACCACTTCCATATTGTAGAGTGAATAAGCAGAGTGTCCCTCCCCTCCCAGTCTGGGCCAGAGCAGTCTCACGGCTTTGCACATGGCAGGCAAGTGCTGTTTTTGTTGAATGGCTTGATTCAGGTTTTTGTTGTTTGTTTTTTTGAGACAAGGTCACACTAAGTAGTTTTGGCTGTCTTAGAACTCATTGTATAGACAAGGCTAGTCTCAAATTCACCAGGATCTGCCTGCCACTGGCTTCCCTAGTGCTGGGATTAAAAGATGTTCCACTTCCCAGGTGTTGGCCTCACGGGAGAAGAATTTCAGCCTGGGGGTTATTTCCAGGTGACACTTGGATTGTCTTGTACTTTAAAATAGTGGCCACATAGTTGCAGCCGGTGTAAAAATGTTGCTTTTTTAGTTCAGTGTTAACATATTTCCCTTTTTTTTGCAGCTGGGAATGGAGGAAGAAGATGTGATTGAAGTTTATCAGGAACAAACGGGGGGTCATTCAAGGGTTTAGATAATTCTTTTTATTTTTTTTCCTTTTCCCTTAATCCTTTTTTATTTTTAAAAATAGTTCTTTTGTAATGTGGTGTTCAAAATGAAAATTGAATACTGGCTCTCCATCTCTTTAGAACATCTGGTATTCTGAATTCTAGTGTTCAATATTCATTACTGGTTGTTTTTGTTGTGCTGATTTTTGGTGATCAGACCTCAGCTCCCTTAATATTGCCCTTCATATTTTAAACAATTTCATATGTGCACAGAGAGGCCACCCTTTTCAGGACTGTGCATTTTCAAGTTTGTGATGATAAAAAGATGGACCAGTGGGAGCTTTCCTATGACCTTCCAGTTGGCCCTGAAGTTCCAGCATGCAGTTGCTTCACGCCTGGACTGTGGTTTTCAGTGGGAGATGGAAGGTCTTCAGAGACCTGAACTGTGGGAAAATGACCTTTCCTCAGCTTGAAGCTACTTTTAAAATCTGAGGGTCTGGACCAAAAGAAGAGCATCACGTTTGTAGTCAAGATGACAGATACAGTGAGAGTGACAGCTAACTCCAGGATGGCTTCACCAGAGAGAAGAGTATGGCAGGCTGTCTGAAGATCCCAGGAAAGCTGTAATTTCCATCAGCAGTTAGTAGGAAAGTTACTCTTGCAGAAGTGTACGCAACAGACACTGCTCCTTTTGATTCTGTTTGTAGTTTTTGGCCTGGGACATGGGTTTTCAAGGGACATCGTCTGTACCAGCTTCATTAAAATAAACAATATTTGTAAAAACCGTACGAAAGTCCCTTTTATTTTAGTTTATTTAGTTTTGTAGGGAGAAAGATGAAAATGTCCCAGATAGGGTTTTCTTTAGTGCTGTACAGTGGTGACCTTAATGACTTGAAGCAGTGGGAGCTACTGGTGTACCTCCTGAATCAATCGTTTACTTATGATCACAGTGCCTTTTTAAAAACTCGCTGTCAGCCGGGCGGTGGTGGCGCACGCCTTTAATCCCAGCACTCGGGAGGCAGAGGCAGGCGGATCTCTGTGAGTTCGAGACCAGCCTGGTCTACAAGAGCTAGTTCCAGGACAGGCTCCAAAACCACAGAGAAACCCTGTCTCGAAAAACCAAAAAAAAAAAAAAAAAAAACAACTCGCTGTCAGGTGGTAGTGGCGCACGCCTTTACTCCCAGCACTCTTGAGGCAGAGGTGGGTGGACCTCTGAGTTCGAGGCCAGCAGGACTGTTTCACAGAGAAACACCACTGTCGTGTCTTTTCTGATTGTGCTGTTCTTGGATGTTACACATAAACCATTACTGGGTGTTTTGTTTTTCCTTTTCGAGTATTTTTAAAATCCTAGTGAATTGGGGGCTGGAGAGATGGCTCAGTGGTTAAGAGCACTGGCTGCTCTTCCAGAGGTTCTGGGTTGAATTCCTAGCACCCACATGGTGGCTCACAACCATCCATAATGAGACCTGGTGCCCTCTTTTGGCCTGTAAGCATACATGCAGGCAGAACACTGTATACATAATAAATAAATACATCTTTAAAAAAATTCCAGTGAGTCGCAGAACTATATATATATGTGTACATCCAATTTCATGTCATTCCAGATACCGTGCCATCTGGCTACTTTAGCAAATAAACCTTTCTGAGATTCATTTTATAAACTGCTAACAGCTTATATACCCTTCCTTTTCAGGTAATTTGCTCACAAAGAAGATTGCCTGAAACTCACATTTGACCCTATCTTTAAAATTATTTCTATTGTACAAAATGGAACTTTTAGACTCCCCTGGCATTTACTGTTATATTCTTTAAGTAGTAACTGGAAATTAGGTTCAATTGTAGAAAATCTTGAGTTTGCATCATCGGTCAAGCTCAAGTAACAGATTTGATTGGTTATTTGAGCTTTTCAGAATTCATGAATATATGAAGGCTCAGCATTTAGTGGTGGAGCTTAATGGTAGAAATAATTTTTGTTTTGGAGGGTCTTCTAAAGTACACTCTACTGTTGACCTAAAAAACACCTTTGACTGATAAAGTAGTACTGTTAAAATAGACACTTGGGAGCAGAAGTGTAATAGATAATACTAGGAAAGGACCCTAAGTAGTCTATCTGGTGCTTCAGTGCGGTACCCTAAATTTGCAAAAGGGAGAAAACATGAGCAGTAATGCTTTCACGCATGTTTGTTCTTGAGTGTGTGTTGATTGACAAGCGTCAGAAAGAGACATTTAAGTTTACTATGATCTCATCCATAGTGTTTGCCATTTTCTGTTTTTCGTGAAACAAGGACTTGCTTAGTTCATGCAGTACAGAATGGAAAAATTAGCTAAATTCCTAGGCTGGAGAAGTAATTCCTGTACAAAGCAATACCTTGTGGGGCTGGAGAGATGGCTCAGTGGTTAAGAGCACTGCCTGCTCTTCCAAAGGTCCTGAGTTCAATTCCCAGCAACCACATGGTGGCTCACAACCATCTGTAATGAGGTCTGGTGTCCTCTTCTGGCCTGCAGACATACACACAGACAGAATATTGTATACATAATAAATAAATAAATATTTAAAAAAAATAAAATAAAAGAATTTACTACCACACACAGTGTGAAAGAAAAATAAATCTTAAAAAAAAAAAAGCAATACCTTGTGAGTAAATGCAGTTCTTTACCTGTAGGCAGTGTGATGATTAAATTTTGGTTGTTAACTTCCCTGGGCTTAAAGTCACTCTGGGAAGATTTCGGGTGTGTGTCCAGAAAGGTTTGAGGTGGGAATTCCTACCCTGGGGGTACTGCCACTCTGTGAGGTCCAGGGTTGAGTAAGAAGGATAAAGTGAGCCAAGAGCCAGCATTCATCCCTGACCAGATGCTGATGCAGATGCAGGGTGACCAACTGCTTAACTCTAAGGTGCTTTTTGGGGTGTATGTGTATAGTTTTGTTGTAGTAATAAGAAAACTAAGACAAGTGTGGATCAAAAGTTAGGAAAATCGGGCTGGGGAGATGGCATAGTGGTGAGGGGCACGGGCTGCTCTTCCGGAGGACCTGGGTTCAGTTTCAGCAACCACATGGTAGTTCACTACTGTAACTCCAGGGGATCTGATAGCCTTATACAGACAAAAACACCAATGCTTGATTTAACATCCTTTTATGTTGTTTTGAACAATTTCTTTTACTATTCTGATACTTGGCCTCAAACTCACAGAGATCCACCTGCCTCTGCCTCCCAGGTGCTGGTATTAAAGGTGTGGACCGCCACCACTGCCCGGCGAGACAGGGTTGGCTTCTTTTTCTTTTCTTTTTTGGCTCTCTGGAACTAGCTCTGTAGACCAGGCTGGCCTTGATGTCTCTTCCTCCCATGGGCTGGTGCTGGGATTAAAGAGCACCACCGCCTGTGATGTGTTGTTAAAAGGGATGTTTACTAGACATTTTTAGAACAGTTGCTAAATGACTTAAAGACTTCGGATAGGATGATGTCATAGAGTTTTATGTGTAGGTTTTTTAAGGCACAGTTGGGAATAAAATCTTAAGATTTGTTCTCAAGGATCAAAAATAGCATTGGGATTTCAGAGTTAATGAAATAGTTGTATTTCTTTGCTGATGTAGCCCCCGGCAACTACCTGTGGCCATGAACATTTAACGGTGAGTAGTATGAGGGAAGCATGTTTTGGGTTCCACAGCTATAGCCTTGTTTAAACATGCCACTCTTTAAAGATTGAGAGGATTTTCACGGAACAGCCCCCTTTGCTCAAGGGAACCTGTATCAGGTGATCCCAAACATGCCTTTTCAGAAGACATTTGTTTTAAATTCCCCATGATGAAGTTGTGCTTTATAGAGGGATTTAATATATGATTAACTCCTCTTCACTAATCCAGAGTTATTGCATGACAAAATAATGTCCATTCACCATCAACTCTTGAACACACTCAAATACATACAGTGTCTAAGACTGTTGGTGTCTCCCGCTGGAACTATGGAATGGTTTAGCACCAAGGCTTTTGAACTTAATGTGGTCCTAGAAACACAAAAGGATTTAAGTAAGTGGTAAGTTATTGGGTTTGTGTGTGTGGAGTGTGCAGGAATGCTGGGAATAGAGAGGTTCCAGTCCAGGGTAAAGAAGAGAGGATGGCTGGACGGCTGGGCGGTGGTAGCACTAGGGAGGCAGAGGCAGGCGACTGTCTGTGAGTTCGAGGCCAGCCCGGTCTATAGGACGAGACCCCAGGACAGGCTCTAAAGCTACACAGAGAAACCCTGTCTCTAAAAGTGGGAGGTATGGGTTGAGGGAAATCAGATGAAATGGACTAATTGAGCTCAGGCCCGAGTTTTATTATAGAAGTATAGCTTTTTCTGTCAGCAATTCTCAACTTACTTTTTTGTTTTCTTCTAGCCTTACGGCTTGGGGATTTGTAGGAACTGGAAATATGAGTAGACCCATGGTCTGGAAATGTTCTGTGTCCACTGCAGACCGCTGGCTTCCTTTAAGAGTTCTTGATGAAAACGAAGCTGTTTCTCCAAAGCTGCTTTTTGCCTAAGGAGACAACCCACCCCAGTTCCAGAAATGATTTAGCATTCAGTCTTTTTATTTTATTTATTTTTTTTGATTTTTCCAGATAGGGTTTCTCTGTGGCTTTTGGAGCTTATCCTGGAACTAGCTCTGTAGACCAGGTTGTCCTCGAGCTCACAGAGATCCGCCTGCCTCTGCTTCCTGAGTGCTGGGACTAAAGGCGTGCACTCAGTCTTTTTTTAAAATTTATTTATTTATTAAAGATTTCTGCTTCCTCCCCGCCACCGCCTCCCTTTTTTTTTTTTTTTTTTTTTTTGCATTTTCAAGACAGGGTTTCTCCGTAGCTTTTGGTTCCTGTCCTGGAACTAGCTCTTGTAGACCAGGCTGGCCTCGAACTCACAGAGATCCGCCTGCCTCTGCCTCCCAAGTGCTGGGATTAAAGGCGTGTGCCACCACCGCCCGTGCACTCAGTCTTATAAATTGGTAGAGTTTTGGATTTGGGTTGTGGGTTTTAGTGGAAGATCATACTCTGTTCATTTAGTGCCTTTACATGAGACATTTGGACATCATGAGAGTCCTATTAGGAAGAGGGGAAGTGGTAATTCCCAGTTCTTAAACTTGTGTTGTTGGAAGGGATTCCTTTGCTTGTTTGCTTGCTTTATTTAGGTTTGTTTTTTTTTTTTTTTTTTTTTTTTTTTTTGAGACAGGGTCTCCCTGTGAAGCCCTGGCTGTCCTGGAAACTCACAGGCTTAATCCCCTGAGTGCTAGGATTAAAGTGGACCCCCTTGCTTTAGAGATGAGGAAACAGCCCAGAGAAGTTAAAGTACAGGGGCGGATGTCCAGGTGGACATGAAGTCAGGTCGGTTGGCACTGGGTTCTAGCTCTTGGAGGAACGAGATGGTCCATTACCCCTTTAGTTGCTCAGCTACCTGAACTGGTTTTATTTACATAATCGTTCTAGTACCTCGATAATGCCTGTCAGTTTTTCATGGAAAGTTGGGGTTCTAGGAGCTTGCATTCTGTCGTACTACTGCTACGATACGTGGTGTCTAGACTATTGAAGCTGAATTAGGACTTTTCTAATAACCTATTTTGTAATGCCCCTGACCGCTGAAGAAAGTCCAGGGAAGGAACAACTCAAAGTTAATGAAGTCTTGAGAGTTCTGGTGCCTTCTCTTTAGAGAAGATTAGAGGCCATCTAATTTGTGGGAAATTACAACTCAATGCAGGGGGAGTGTTTACATTTAGTGTTGGAGACATGATTTCCCAGGTTGTACCTCGTCTATCCCGACAGTTTTGAGAAAGAATCTGGCTGCAGTTCTCCCAGGAGCCCTCCAAGGTTCCTTCTGCGACTGCCCCCCAAGTGCCACAGCTACAGAACTGTGCCACCACACCTAGCTCACCTTCCTGTTTCTGTGGTGGTCAAAGATCAGAAATGCTCTCGGCCCCAGGTAAGAAGGAACTTCAGTTCCTTCTGGTCTTGGCGTAACTCCCTGGCATCATCCAGAGTACCACTTTTCACCCCCATCCCAGCAATGCTGGGCTTCTGTTTATTTAACATGTCACATGACAAGCTTTCTGTCACATCTTTCTAGTTTTCCCGCATAGCATTTTGTAGCTAGCCTAAAAAACAAACATGGCGGGGTGTGATGGTACATGCGTTTAATCCCAGCAGTGGGGAGACAGAGGCAGGTAATCTATGAGTTTGAGGTTAGCCTGGTCTACAGAGTTAGTTCCAGAACAACTAGGGCTGTTACACAGAGAAATCCAGTCTCGAAAAACCAAACCACACAAAACCAAAAACATTGTCTTTTTCGGTATCTCTCCATCCTCATCCCTTGACTGTGAGTATCATACTTATGAATCCCTAGAGTATACAATTTACACAATGCATCTTGGTATTGGCCATAACTCAGTATTTGGTCCTGATGGAGATCTTGCTCCTCTTTCACTGGGAAGTTGAATACAGGGCATAATCTAAATATTCTACCAACCTGCTGCACACTAACCCTGGGATTTACTTATCTGTAAACCAGATTAAGAGAAATGTTCTCCTAAATGCGTGTCTAGCTTCAATACAAGTTCTATGAGCCATGACAGAATCCTGCCCTGCTCTAGGGGATGAGAGAACTGTGGTATAAGGAAGGCCGTGTAAGGTGAGAACTGGCACCAGGTCATCAAGCCTCTGAAAACAAGCCCTGAGGGCAGCTTTTGTCCAACTCTTGCTTACGAGAAGTACCTGTCTTGCTCCTGGGCAAGTTTCATGGCTTCCTCCAGAGCCAGTTTTGCCGCCGCCTCTTCCCGTTGCCTCTTTTCCTCAGCCTCCCGCCGAGCCTTCTCTTCTGCTTCCAGTTTCTGCCACTGGTACTCCAGCCGTTCTTCTTCAGCCATTTCCATCAGGCGTTTCTGTTCTTCTGCCAACTGCGTTTCCAGTTCTCTCTGCCGTTGCTTCTCCGCCTCTGCGGAACATAAAGAGGTGTTCAGTGGAGGGGCCTCACTAGCTAGAGCAGTTGGTATTTCTGGTCTGCCAGGAGAGCCTCCGTGGGTTTACTAATCCAAGTCCTCTGGCAAAGTGCCTATGGGTATTAAAAAGCCTTCGGGAAGATTTTCCTCACAGTTGAGTTCATGGGGCAGTAAGCAGCTGTGTGGGCAGGAGTGTCAGACCAGGGTCTAGAGAAACACACTGACCTACCTAGACTCTGACTAGTCTAAAGAGTGTGAACCAGGAATTGACCACAGCATCGTCTGCTGAACTTTCTACCTTGTCTGGAAAAGTTTGCTGATCTGGAAAAGATGACCAGATCCACCCCTCAAGGTATGGTCGGAGGCTCTCCAGATATTTGTGACTATCTGGGGAAAGGGCCAGGTAGAGCAGTTCACATAGCGCCTGAGCAATGCTGGCCGGGGCAATCGCTGAACCAGAAGACCGACCCGACCCTGCAGTTGTTTCCACAAGAGTCTTCTGTTCATACCCCATCCTTTTATATCCACCCTCTGTAGGCAGACATAATTATCATTATGGGAAAAAGAACAAAACAGCTTACACATGTGGATTTAAAAATATGTTTGGTCCAGGAGGTGGGAGCTAAAAAAAAAGCACAGGGGTTTTCTCACCAGCCCTCTCCACCTCCTTCTGCTGCCTTTCTCTCTGCAGTTCTTGTAGTTTCCTCCGGAGCTCCTCTTGCTGCTGTCGGGCTCTCTCCTGGGCCACCTGCAGCTGGCGCCTCCTCTTCCTCTCCTCTTCCTCCTGCCGCTGCCGCTCTTCCTCCAGCCTCTGCTTCCTCAGGCTGAGAACACAGCAGATGTCAGAGGAAGGGCAGAAGATACAGGCCCAACCAACTGGCAATAGGCTTTGGAAGCACCCCTCAAGAACAGGTTTTCTACAGCCATGGTTGAAGGGTAGAGGTGAGAGACAGGAGTCTAGAGGTCTAGATGTTGTGGCATATAGCTCAGTGCTGTGGCCCAGGATTTAAGCGCCTTAAATTCTCTGCATTTTATTTTCTATTTTTTTTTTTAGATTTATTTTATGTGCATGGGGATTTTTTGCTTGTCTGCATAGGCATATCCCTGGGACCTGGAGTGGCAGTGAGCTGCCTTGTGGGTGATGGAAATGGAACTCAGGTCCTCTAGAGGAGTAGCTAGTGATCTTAATCCCTGGGCCATCTCTCCAGCCTCTTTATTTTCTATTCAAGTATGGATCTTGAAATTCTTGCCTCTTAGGGTTGTGGAGATTTAAAGCCTAGTACAGAGCAGACAACAGCAGGCATTGGATAAATGCAGGAATGAATCTCAACACCTTCCCCCAAATTCCCCATGAGCATCTATCTTGAGTAACCCACATGGTCAAGGCAGTTTCTTATCTCTGGTCCAGGTTGTTCCTTTGATTTTGGGTCAGGGCAGGAGCCTTAGCACTGAGCTATGCCCCTGGGGAAGGTTTGCCCTGCCTTGTGTCTCTGGGCTGCTGGCCCACCGGATCTCCTCAGCGCGCCTCTGCTGCTCCAGTTCCAGCTCCTCCTTCATCTTCTCTGCTCTCTCCAGCTGCTCCTTATGGAGCCTGGCCAACTCTTCCTGCTCCCTTCTCTTCCGCTCCACCTCCAGCCGCCTCATCTCTGCCCTCTCTAGGCGAATTCTGTCCCGAGAAGCCTTATCCAGGAGGGCCTAAGAGATCAGAGTAGTATCAGTATAACGGACAGACCCAGCTGCAGCCCAGATTGGTTTTCTCTCATCAGAGATGGAATCCTACAGCTGACTTAACACTGCCACCACAGTGGCATAGACTGCCTCTGCCTGGCCGGCTGAGCGGCTGGAACGACCTACATTCAAGTCTTTCACTTGCTTTGGGATTGGGCGAGCACGGCTGTCCTGATACGGTCTTCCTTAAGGCTACATCCAGTACTCACTGAGATAACAGACATACTCTCCTGTGTGTCAGAAGTTCTGGCCTTTACAACCCTAGCCGCACTTCAGAACTGCCTAAGGAGCTTTAAAATATGCCAGGGCTCCATTTGGGCCAACAAATGGAAATCTCGGGGGTGGGGGTGGGACTTCTGGAACTTGAAGCTGGGGCTCGGGGGCACGGTCCTGGTAAGAGGCTGTTTTAGCTGCACGGTGGTGGCACCCGCCTTTATTCCCAGCACTCAGGAGGCAGAGGCAGGCCCTGTCTACAGAGTGAGTTCCAGGACAGCTAGGACTGTTACACAGGGAAACCCTGTCTTGAAAAACAAACAAACAAACAAACAAGGACAAAAGAGGGTGTTTTACCAGATGCAGTATGCAGTCTTGGCTATAGAGGAGTCAGGCTTAGTTAACCCACCGTTTCAGTGGAGGGTTTTTTTCCCAGCTTATAAAATGTATCTTCAGCCGGGCAATGGTGGCGCACGCCTTTAATCCCAGCACTCGGGAGGCAGAGGCAGGTGGATCTCTGTGAGTTCGAGACCAGCCTGGTCTACAGAGCTAGTTCCAGGACAGGCTCCAAAGCCACAGAGAAACCCTGTCTCGAAAAACCAAAAAAATAAAAAAATAAAATGTATCCTCCTTTTTCTCTCCAATGCTGCCTCCTTACTCGGTCACAATTTTAGGTGTGCCACCACTGCCTGGCTCATTCAAATTTTCTATTCAAACGTGCACCTTAGAATCGAGGTCACTGGAGCGTACGCAGCAACTCATAAAATGCACCCCGTGAAAGCCATGCCATGAGCTACCTGGTCCAGCTGCACACCATAGCCTTTGCAATGTGCCAGACCAAGCTGAGGACGTGGCTTGATTCTAACAGCCTCTGGGTCTCCCTTTCTCTGTCCCAGTGAGACATGCACCTCTCTCGGATGGCCCCCCGTATCTACCTCCTACTCCTTAGTATGGGACACATTCCCTGCCAGTTTGGGGCATCCCAGAATGCCTCACTCACTTCAAAGTGAGATCAGGTCTGGCTTCTAACTAGGGTCTCAAGCCACCAAAGAAGAACAAGTAAGACCATGGCTTGCCAGGTGCAGTGGCACACACCTCTAATCCCAGCACTCAGGAGGCAGCAGCAGCGGCAGGAGGATCTCAGTTGAATTTGAGGTCAGGCTGGCCTACAGAGAGAGTTCCAGGACAGCCAGGGCACCACAGAGAAACCCTGTCTCAAAAATCAATCAATCAATCAATCAATCAATCGCCACGTAATAGAGCTGTTTCGGGAAGTCCATCTTATTGAGAGACATTCCCCTCATCTGCAGTTCTGAGTGAAGAGAAAAAGCTTCCTCTTGCCAAGAGAGGACACCTGCTCATACCTTAGAAGGGTCTTCAGGGCTTCTCTCTTTTTCAGATTCCATGTTGTTAATGACACCCGTGGCCTGTGTGTGTGACAATCTTCCGTCTATAAAAACCTGGCTCTCCAGAGCATCCGATTCAGGAGAAAGCCAAGGCTCCTCGGTGGCAGAGTGTGGACGGAGAAGCCCTTTCTCTGAGGTACCACCTGCTTCCTTGGCGTTAGCGACGTCGGGCTCACTCAGCTCTTCCGCCGTCTCCGCGTTCCTCTCTTTCTGTGTCCTTTTCACTTTGATCCTCGGTTTCTTTTCTCTAGGAATTAGCTCTGATTTCTTTTCAGTTCTTGAATCCTTTGACTTTCCTGGGGGAAGCGACGGGGGACAGAGGTTGCTGAGTTGGAGAAACGTGACTCCGCTCATTCTCTTTAGTAACCCTTTTGAGACAGGACCTCACTATGAAGCTTGGGCTGTCTTGGAACTCACTATATAGACCAGAATGTCTTCAGATTCAAAGAGACCCTTATACCTTCATCTCTCAGGTGCTGGGATTAGAAGCGTGTGCCACCACACCTGGCTCTTTTATAACCTTTAAGATTAGCATAAGATAAATTGATGTGCATATTCCTGAATTCATAGAATATGCATTGTAATAATGATTTGAGAAGAGCAGCCCTGCATTATATTTAGGTCAATAAAGATGCAACCATGCAGCAGTATCACTGCTGGAAAGGTTGCATTTCTGGATGCAGATACAGCTAAGTAGTAGAGCATGCATTTAGTTATGTAGGGCCCAAGGTTCAATCCCCAATGAACCCAAAGCAAGGTTCCATCTCACCCCGATGACGATGGGGCAGGACTCCTGAGGAGACTCTCAGCATGTCTGACAGTCCTGCCCAGATCACAGCTCTATGGGGTCGGTTTAATGCTCAGAGGATCAAGGGCGTTGTTTCCCCACTCCTGGGCATTGTTTCCCCACTCCTGGGCATTGTTTCCCCACTCCTGGGCATTGTTTCCCCACTCCTGGGAATGCTGGGGGCTAAACAAATGTAATTGCAGCAAGAGCTCGAAGAGCAAACCAAAATCAGATCTGTCCCCAGGGCTGTCTCCAGGGACCCACTGTTGTCCTTCCAAAAAACGTGCTTTGTTTCAAGGGTCCACAGATCTCGGGAACGATAAAGAGGAGGTGTGAGTTTTAGGCTAAAGGAAGTTCGGAAGTGTCTGAGGTCTTCTAAGGCTCAGAACACTCAGACCCTACCTCATCCTCCCCTTCCTAAGCTCTCTGCCTAAGCTGGGCATCGCTTTCCTGAGACATCTGGGAACAGAAGCATTTCAGATTAGGGATCCTTCCTGGTTTTAGAATATTTACACATACGTTAAATGCGTATAATTTAAAATCCTGGTGACTGGATCCAAGCCCAACCCCACAGTTTGTTAACGCTTCATATAAACGTTTGGCCCTCAGCTTGAAGGTAAAGGTAAAGGCTTGATGTTTTTCTTAAAGTAGCAAGGGGTTTTATTCAGAATCAAAATAAAACTATATTCAAGTTGGACAGTGGTGATGCACGCCTTTAATCCCCACACTCGGGAGGCAGAGACAGGTGGATCTCTGTGAGTTTGAGGCCAGCCACGTCTACAAGAGCTAGTTCCAGGACAGGCTCCAAAGTTACAGAGAAACCCTGTCTCAAAAAACCAACCAAACAAACAAAAAACTGAGTTCAAATACACTGTAAACTCATGAGCCTTACGCAGTATTTTCTGTGAGGCCAGGTACGGAATCTACTTGTGGTATCTTGTTGATGTTCTGGAAGTTTCAGACTTGGGTCCATTTTGCATTTCAGTTTTTTTTTCAGATTACAGGTCTCAGCCTGTAGTTATTAGCTCATAGTGGCAGCCATAGTGATGCTACTGCGACACACCCTGCACAAACCCTGGGTCCACTTCTCCTCCGACGCCGCTTACCCCACCTCTCTCAGCCTCAGGTGAGACAGCATGGCGGCACTCATTTCAACATTCACAGAGTGCCGTTGTTAGCAGCCCCCCGTCACGGTCATCACAGGTCTCTACTCAGACATGGTTTTCTCTGCTCATGTGCACTGAGACACTTCCGTGAAATCGGGCTGCAAAGCCAGCTCGGCCAGGTAGTCAGGCAAAGCTCGACCTGCAGGAGCCAAGTCCATTGTCCACATTGCCTCCTTGCCCACTGGAGTCTGAGCTACTCCTCACGGGCATCCTTCCTTACCTCCAGCAGCCTCTGCGTGCCCCAAGACCCTTCCTTCTCTCTCTGTTTTGGGTCCTCTGGCCTTGTTTGTCTTGGTTCTTTTCTTCCTCTTTGCCTTGTCAACCAAATCCTTTCCCTAAAGGAAGAAATTTAGAAAGAGGATCATGATACACATAGGAACTAAAAACGTTAATCAAGCTGGATGGTGGTGGTGCAGGCCTTTCATCCCAGCACTTGGGAGGCTTGAACTCTGTGAGTTCAAGGCCAGCCTGGTATACGAGTGCCAGGACAGGCTCCAAAGAGAAAGAGTTTATCAAATGGAGATTATGCCGGAAGAACAAGGTGGCTTAGAATGGAACGCATTTGAGTTCTGGATGAAATAGGCGATCAACTTCAGAGTGTGGAGCCGGTGGGGAAAAGGGCACCTTTTCTTTAAAATAACCAGGAAAAATTTCAGAGAAGAAAGAGTAAGAAAAGCCCTGTATGGCCTGCCTTCTTTTCTGATGCTATGTCATGGTCTGCAGAGCTTGAAGCAAAGGAAGCGATTTTCTTGTTTGTTAGCGCTGCTACGGTTGGCCAACTGATGGAACTCAGACCGGCTTTGTGTCCACTGACTTCTACATCGTGTGCTAACTCTGAGAAAACTCTCGGGGCAAGTAGTGTAAGTCCCAGTCTCTGGCCCCCATCTTTGGAGGCCCCGCCCCTATGCCCGCCAAACTTTGACCCCTCCTCGGATGAGTGTCAAGGCAGCCCCCCAAATCTTGACCACTCCCCAAGTCTATTTGAGGGAGAGTTCCTTCCTGGTGTCGCCCCCCCACTTCGTGGTTGCATTGGCGGCTTCCCGTTTGGGGGGAGGGCACCGGAGAGCGCAGGAATCACATTAAAACCTGGATATCCTTTAATTCGGCTTCTTGTGATTTGGCTTGATTGGGATTTTTGGCGTTGGCAGAGAGCTCGCGTTAGGAAATGTTCCTAACAGGTAGCAAGAGCCATGGTAGCCTTTCCATATAGACTGTGACAACATCTCCTAAAAGAGGTTACCTACTTTGTAGTTTCGTAGGGTTTGACAAGAAGATGCAGCTTGGGACACGGTACAGGTTCCGGTGAGCAGACCGTGGCTGGACCTCGCCCGCCTCCACCCCCACCCCCCCACCCCCCGCCGTTGCTCCTTTTGTGAGGTGCTCGTATCTATTAAGCAACCTCCATAAGTCTACGTGGAGCCTTGGAGGGGTTCAGGCAGGGTTTCTGGACCAGATTCTCTATTCTCACACTCACGTGACTGGCGGCAGCTGAGGTGTGCTGGCCGAACGATTTGGGTTTCGGTTCCGTCTTCTTATTTTTTTTCCTTGGAAGAAGAGATGCAGTCTCAGACCCCAGCTTCTCTGGGGATGCAGGCTCATGTTCTAGTAGTCCTCCGTGCACATCCCTGTCCCTTTGAAAAGAGCAAGTCAGCAGACCAATTTCATGACGAAACGTGTAAGCAGGAGGGAAGAGAGCAAAGGAAGATGCTGCCAGGATTTTTGACATGCTTAGGCAACTTTCTCCTCCACATAAGGGCGGTTAGGAAGGGTGAGCTTCACTTTTGGGGTTCCCTAAAGCCCTAGTACGTAAACATATGGAGAAACAGTCCACTTCTTTTCATTGCCTATTTTACACCTTTAATTGAGAGCTCATTTGGAGGTTCTATCAGGGAAGCCCAACTACGAGAGGACCCTGGACCAGAGAAAGACAGGTCCTCCCGTGTTTGAGGAAGGTTTTCCTCTTCCGTGGAGCTGGCAGCTTTGGGAGGGACATGCGTGGAACCGTGAGGGAGGGGGGAGCCATACACCTCGCCAGTCAGATCAGCTGAATCAACCCCGGAGATCGATCCGTGAGGTGCTGTGTAGCGATCAGATAACCCTCACAGAATCACGCAACTGAGATGTCTTCTGTCAAGGGCTTAGCCGGGAAAGGAAAACGACTTCTAACAAAGATGCATGCAGTTGTCCCGTTCATTACTTTGCCTCTATGAGTTTTATTCTCAATCGATTCAGCCACTACAAGGTGGTGTGTGTGTGTGTGTGTGTGTGTGTGTGTGTGTGTGTGTGCCCAGTCTTGTGTGTTCTAGTGTCCTTGCCATCGCTGGCTTACGTCTGTGGGTGGCAAGGACAGCATCAGTGATGCCCTGTGCCTGCTGGGTGCTGGGTCTCATCTGGGTCTTTTTTTTTCTTTTCAGTTAAATCAATATATTTACTGTGGCATGCTAGCCCAGGGCCTTCCTGCGGAGACTTGAGAAATATTTGTTGAATGAGGTCAATGGAATTTCCTGTAAATATACGAGTCTTTAAAGTCTTTAAGTCATTCAGTGACACCCTATAAAAACTCACAGAAGTCTGCTTCAGAATGTGCGAGGAAAACCTGTTTCCCCAAGGAACGAGCCCCCTGTAAATGTGCACTGTGGGCCTGGCTGTGTTGCTGTTTTTCTATTCCACACTTAGGAATCTGTGTTAAACCCCAATTTTAGTCACAATAACAGTAATGCATTTTGTGGAGTGTTTTATTTATTTATTTTTCTGTCCTCTTGCGAAAAAAAAAAGAACTCTCTCATCTCATTGATTTTAGCTAGGGAGAAGGTAGATGTAATAACCTATTTAAAATATGTTGCAGAAAAGGGATTACAAAAATAAAAAAGAAAGGAAGAAAGGAAGGAAGGAAGGAAGAAAGAAAGAAAGAAAAAGAAAGAAAGAAAAATCTTTAGTGACTGCCTCAACCACGGAGCCTTTCTTCTTTTGCTTCTGGCTTGGCACAAAACCTTTTAGACCAGAGAGTTATACTGCTGATCTCTAATCACCCTAGGCTCATGGAACCCACAATAAGGTCTCGTTCCAGCTGGTAGCGGAGAAGACCACAGCAGAGGCCACAACCAGAGGAGACTGGGGACAAAGGCCTGGACCAGCGAGCTCACAGGAAGCATCCAGGGAAGGTGTTCCTGCCTTGGCGGGGATGAGAAGAAGCCATGGTGATAACTGGCCATCTTTATTCTGCTCAGAGTTAACAACTGGAGGAGCCAGGATGAACTGATTGTCCCAGCCTTCTATGGTCTCTGTAAATGTCAGGTTCACGGACACACCAAAGAGCTACTTCAAGGTGACTGAAGTTCACTCTTCCCCACCTAACCTGGAGAACTCGGTTTAGGTGGCTCACTCATCCATGTATAAACTACACAGGGACCTGTTGCTTTTAATCCCAGCCACCAGCATGTGATGGCATGAATCTCAGAAAATAAACAAAAATCAGAATAAATTAACGAAAGAAAACCCATGATGGAGGGCTGGAGAGATGGCTCAGTGGTTAAGAGCATTGCCTGCTTTTCCAAAGGTCCTGAGTTCAATTCCCGGCAACCACATGATGGCTCACAACCATCTGTAATAAGATCTGGTGCCCTCTTCTGGCCTTCAGGCATACACACAGACAGAATATTGTATACATAACAAATAAATAAATATTTTTTAAAAAGTTTAAAAAAAAGCCACGATGGAGGGGAGAAGCCACAGTTGCTATGAGCTGCACACACACGTGTTACACTTACGTGCTTTTCACGGTGTCAGCCTCAGAGGTCTGGTTGTACTCATCCACGGGACTACTGAAGTGGTCAAGAGTCAGGTCCCTTAGCTCTGGGTCTGTGTAAACAGAGTATCCTTCATCAACAAACGACCCAGGCAGTTTTCCCAGGAGGAAATCAGGAGAGGGGGGGAAATGTCTATTGGCGAGTCCTGAGCAGTGCAGATGAGAGCTTTTTGTAACAAGTGACATTAAAATTGCAAACTATCCTTCAGAAAAATGATAGCACAGTATGTGTCTAGAGCCAGGAAACCCGTTTGAACCTTCATCAGGACCTCACCTGGGCGTTTATCACAAGGAAACAATTCAAAAGAACAAATCAGCTTTTGTAACAACTTGTTTCATTTGTTGGTAATGAAAAATTAGAGACGCTGGCAGTGGTGGTCCACGCCTTTAATGCCAGCACTCGGGAGGCAGAAGCAGGTGGATCTCTGTGAGTTCGAGGCCAGCCTGGTCTACAGAGGGAGTTTTATTTCAGGACAGGCTCTAAAGCTACAGAGAAACCCTATCTGAAAAAAACGAAAACCAAACCAAACAAAAGCCCCACTGTGGTTAAAACTGCGGAAAGGAAATTGCTCTAAACAGTGTCATCTGTATAATGGAAGCTTAGGGACAACCTTCAAAAACCGTGGCCAGGCTAGGAGATGATTACAGTATCAGTGGCATCTCCATGGCAAGAAGATCTCCGTGAGGATTTATTTCTACAACATGGTGGCTCTAGTCGGGTTGGGGGAGTAGGGGGAGCTCTTGTTGAAGGCATGCCTTGCCGTGAACAAATTTTCTTTTTTGTTTTTTAAGGTTTATTTATTAATTATATATACAGTATTCTGTCTGCATGTATGCTACAGGCCAGAAGAGGGCACCAGATCTCATTATAGATGTTTGTGAGCCACCATGTGGTTACTGGGAATTGAACTCAGGACCTCTGGAAGAGCAGGCAGTGCTCTTAACCTCTGAGCCATCTCTCCAGCCCCCATGAACAAATTTTCGAACTTGGGTGCAGAGCAAAAGATGGCCACGAGATGGCGCAATTGCACTGCCCAGAAACGGAGCCTTAGCCTGGCAGTTCACTCTACCATTTGAGATCTGGGGATGTGATTCAGTAAAGAGAAATTCTTTTGTTTATTTTTCCAAGTGTGAGTTGCAGGCGTGTGTCAACACATTTGATGGGATTTTCACAATTGCCTTAGATTAATTGAGGGATTAACTGAGGGGCTGCCATCTCCTCTTTGCCTTTTTTTTTCCAGGTAGAATCTTGCTAGGTCACCCAGACTGATCCCAAGTGCCACCACACCTGTTTGGTATTGTCGTCTTTATGATGATGGTTCCTCCTATCTGTGAATACTGTATCCAAGGTTATAGAGAAGATTATATCTATTCAAGTCTATTTCTATGTATTGAAATGAACTCATATAATGTCTTAAAACTATACTGTTCCGCCGGGCGGTGGTGGCGCACGCCTTTAATCCCAGCACTCGGGAGGCAGAGGCAGGCGGATCTCTGGGAGTTCGAGGCCAGCCTGGTCTACAAGAGCTAGTTCCAGGACAGGAACCAAAAGCTACGGAGAAACCCTGTCTCGAAAAATCAAAAAAAAAAAAAAAAAAAAAAAACTATACTGTTCCATCTTACTACAGATTGAGTTCCAGGGTAGCCAGGGCTACACAGAGAAACCCTGACTTGAAAAACCAAAAGAACACAAACTGGAAACTGAGAAAGGATTGATAGAATTCTGTTGGGAACACCTGGAGTCCTGGCCTCCAGCTGCTCCTCCCAGCTAGAGATCTTTCCTTCTGATTTGAGTCACTGAAAGCTGTGTCAAAGTTGTTTACCAGCTCTGCTTCACGAGCACGGGTTGCCTTGGACTTGATCAGAGGATGAGGTTTTCACCTGTTGGCCCACCTGACTGTTGGGTATATGAGCCTCTGTGGTGCTATTGAATAAGGGGCTTCTTACCAGTGACTAGAGGTCCGTGTCCCTGTCTCTCTGTTTCTCTGTGTCGTTGTGTGTTTCAATCTCCAGCCCCTTGCCCCAAGCTCGTGAACTGTATGGTAGCGCATTGAGCGCAGATAGGCATCGTGCGCTGCAGAATTCCACCTGGTATCGTGATTTTGCCAACCCCACTACTGAGGGATCTGTAGATACTGGCATCAGCAGGAGACAAAGGAGCATTCTGTGTCCTGAGAGACGCAGACCTGGCCTTGCCAAAAGGAAAAATGAAACCTGAATCCGATTAAATCCCTAGACCTGAGGACCAAGTACCGGAAACAGGAAAGCAGAGACACAAGAAACCACAACAGGAGGGCATAGCAAAATCAACACCCCAGGAAACGCAACAGGACAAAGTGACCCGATTTCCTGAGCATAAACTTGAAGAGGAGAAGGGAGAGATAGAAGGGAATCTATAATTTAAATGACACTTAAAGGCCATATCAACTGATTATAATCAACTCAAAAAATTACAATTGTAAAACAATAAGAACTTGGAAACTATGCAAACACCAGTCGGCCATATTAAAGAATTCTTTGAATGCTGAGGTGTGATAACGTTATCTCAGATACTTTTCTACATCTTGGGGAGAAAATGGTTTATTGGGCTTACATAGCCTGAATCACAGTCTATTAAGGGAAGTCATGGCAGGGAGGGTGTTGCTTACTGACTTGCTGCCCAGGGCTCGCTTAGCCTGCTTTCTTAGAGAACCCAGGATCAGGGTCGGCACCACCTACAATGGGCTGGACCTCCCCTATCAACCACTAATTAAGAAAATGCCCCAAAGGCTTGCCTAGCCCGGTTTTATAGAGGTGTGTGTGTGTGTGTTTAGTTTTTCAAGATAGGGGTTCTCTGTGTAACAGCCCTAGCTGTAGCTGTCCTGGAACTAGCTCTGTAGACCAGGCTGGCCTCGAGCTCACAGAGATCTGCCTGCCTCTGCCTCCCGAGTGCTGGGATTAAAGGTGTGCGTTTAATCACTGGCAGGCAGAGGCATTTTCTTAACTGAGGTTCCCTCTTCTCAAATGAGTCTAGCTTGTGTCAAGTTGACATAAAACTAGACAAGAACAATGGTCTTGTAGTTATGTCAAAAGAGTCCCTTTTTGTTTTTTATTTTTTTTTTATTTTTTTATTTTTTTTTTTTAAATATTTATTTATTTATTATGTATACAATATTCTTTCTACGTGGATGCCTGCAGGCCAGAAGAGGGCACCAGACCTCATTACAGATGGTTGTGAGCCACCATGTGGTTGCCGGGAATTGAACTCAGGACCTTTGGAAGAGCAGGCAATGCTCTTAACCGCTGAGCCATCTCTCCAGCCCCCCCTTTTTGTTTTTTAGAACTGCATGGTAGTTGAATGGTGGTGGCGCACGCCTTTAATCCCATCTCAGGCGGAGGATCCATGTTTCTGTGTGATTGTTTTGGGTCTAAGCTAGCCAGGCAGCCCGGAAGAGCAAGCAGCCTCCTCCAACAAATTGGCGCCAATGTGATTGACTAAAATCCACATAAAACCTGAGAAAACTTATTTTGTTCCTGGGCGGCCGGGATGAACAAGCAGGCCCCTCCAACACCTTTATTACCTCTGCTGGAGCTGAATCCAGCAGGGAAGTTTGTGGGGTTCAAAGTTGAAATTTCCGCTGTAAGTTCCTGAGGGTAGGGAACCTGACATTGTCATCGTGGCTCGCCTAAAAACTCAGCGTGTTCGTTCATTCATTCATTCATCTGATCCATTCATTCATTCACTTGTGGAACGTGTACGAGGTCTGGAGAATGGCCTGTCTTTAGGCACACTCACAAGACATGGGGCTATACAGTAGTACACAGTGGCTATCCAACACACATTTGTGAAACTGAGTAAGACTTCGCATCTCCCCAGGAAGCAGAGGCAGCAATGAGAAGCAGACAGTGTGGGATGCTCCTTAAGAAAGAACTTGCTTTCCAAGTATGAAGCCCCGACTCCCCAGGCAGCTCTCCTTCGAGTTGGTGGGAATCACACCCCCCATTCGCACAATTCACAAATGCATCAAATGTTCCTTTCTCTTCCTTTGCTACCACAGAGACCAGTGGAGGGAGCAGAGCTATCCTAGTCCCTCTTAAGCCAGCCACAGTGTGGGCAGCTAGAGCCTGTTGTTTGGGGTGGAGAGAGAAAACAAACTGAGCTAGGAAAAGCGACTGTGAGTCTCAGAGGCAGGAAGGAGGCAGCACCTACGGGACAGAAACGGATCTGATGTGCGCTGGGCCTGCCTGCTTCTGCTTGTGGGGAGCAGCGCCCCCTTGTGTTTAGTTTGGTTCAGTCAGCAAGACCCTGTTTTCCCCATTTCCTAGTAACTGGGTCAGAGGGTCCTGAGGGTTGGTCTTGGTGTTTATTACAAGAGAAACCCTGACTGAGAGAGGGGCCTTGTGGCAGAACCTGCCGGCTTCAGCTGGATCCCACACGGTGGAAGGAAAAAATGGACTCCTACGGCAGAGAAGGAATCTGGGACTCCCAGCCCAGTGGTGGAGCCTCCATGCTCCCTATCTGCCTGCCACCTGCCAGCTTGGCTTCGTTTCCAAGGCAGAAACGAGTGAGCTTCTCATCCTTCTTAAGTTATTTTGCCTTTGTTAGAACAGGACACCGATCACACATCCCTCTCTTTTATTATTGTTATTTTATGTGTATGAGCGTTTTGCGACTATGTATGTCTGTGCACCAGGTGTGTGCTTGATACCCGCTGAGGCCAGAGGAAGACATTGGAGTCCCCCGAACTGTAGTTAAAGATGATTGTGAACCACTATGTGGGGGTACTGGGAATTGAACTCAGACACTCTGGAAGAGTAGTCAGTGCTTTTAACCACTGAGCCATCTCTCCAACCTCACAAGTTCCTTTTGAAAAGGTGGCAGGCTCTGGGCCTTCTCTTTCTGATTGGAGTCGTGGAAAGGCTCATTGCTTTCTGAGGCTTCCCCTCCATTACTGTTTTAGGCTGCTCCTTTGAGATTTCACATACTTCATGCAGGGTTACAGTCAATCTTAAGGCAAGGTTGGGAAGGTAGCTGAATGGTAGAGGCTTTGCCTAAATGCATGAGAATCTGAATTTGCTGTCCAGCATAAATCTTAAAGCATTCTGCCACATTTCAAGGAATGGCTTTCTTTTGTCTCTTGAGACAGAGTCTCTCGTTACGTAGACCAGGCTAGCTATATGGCCATATGCCTATATCCTGGGATTACAGGCAGGCACTACCATACCTGCTCCTCAAGGAGGGATGTTGTACCATCTGCCCTGCTGCAGAGACTGACTTGGAAAGTAGTTATCATGTTAGAACAAGGCTCTCTTGATAAGATATTAATACAAATTATGACTATATAATTAAAGGTTTCCTTTTCTGTTTGTTCTTAAAGAGGTTTGCTGGGCATGGTGGCACATGCTGGTAATCTCAGCATTTGGGGGGTAGAAGTCATAGTAACAGGAGTTCAAAGCCATCCCTAGCTGCATAGTGAGTTTGAGGTCAGCCTAGGTCTCAAAAACAAAAAAATATACAAATAAAAAAAGTTGCTAATAACACCTATTGAGGACCATCTGTGATAGATACTTGTCTAGACCTATTCACTCAACTCCTCTTTATCACAACCACCCCAGGGGGTAAATACCATTTGTTCCCCTGCTTTCGAGATAATAAAGGAAAAAGATGTCCAGAGAAATTCAGTCATTTTCTCAAGGCTACGCAGCTAAGTGGTAGAGCTAGGATTTTTTTTTAAACTAGCAGCATTTTATTTTATTTCAAGATTTATTTATTAATTATGTATTATTGCATGTGTCCCTGCAGGCCAGAAGAAGGCACCAGATCTTATTACAGGTAGTTGTGAGTCAACACGTGGTTGCTGGGAATTGAACTCAGAACCACTGGAAGAACAGTTAGTGCTCTTAACCTCTGAGCCATCTCTCCAGCCCTGGAGCTAGGATTTGAACCCAGGAAGTAAGAAGCCACGGTCAGTGCTGCTAATCTCAGTGATGTCTGGACTTGAGCCCAATTCTAGGGGGAGTCTGATGCCTCTTGGCTTCCATGGGTACCTTCATTCACATGCCTGTGTCTAGCACAGACATACACATGAATATACATAGTTAAAATAAAAATAAAACTTACAAACTGAACCGATAACTAACTGTCCTCAAGCACTTGGTCTGAGGCAGGCATTCCTTTGATACCTTTTGTAAACCTCCCAGGTGAAGCTGAGCAGTGGTGGCGCACACCTTTAATCCCAGCACTCAGGAGGCAGAGGCAGGTGGATCTCTGAGTTTGAGATCAGCCTGGTCTACAGAATGGGTTCCAAGACAATCAGTGCTCCATACTACCCTGTCTTGAAACACCAAAACAAAAAACCGAGACTTCCAGGTAGTTCTGAAGTGCACTGATAAAAGAACCATTGGTCTAGGAGGTAACTAGAATTGAAGTTGTATTCTTTCCTTGGACTTTGGGGCAAGAGTTATTTCCCCAGTCCACTCAGATTCAGAGGTTGTTGGTTGACCTTGCCTTGGGGGAACTTGAAAGCAGAACCCTAGCCCACCTCCCTAGCTCAGTTATTCTTTAAAATTTTATTTATGTCCATGTGTGTAACATACATAGTACTAATGATTGAACCCAACCTTGCACGCACTAGGCAAATGCTCAACACTGAGTGGTACCCCCAGTTTCTGGCTCAATTCTTATAACAAACCATGAAGGTCACCACTGAGTTTAGTAGGGCAAAAACCAAAATCCCAAACAAAACCAAATCCACTTGACCATTAAGACCAAAGGGGAGACCTGTTCTTTAAGCAATTAAAGTGTTTCCTTAGCACTTCCAAGACCTGAAATCCTTTCTGAAAAGGACAGGCAAGTCCCTCTGTGTCTTTCTGTGGCGACGTTTCACTACGTTAGAGAATGTCTGGCTAACCTCCGAGGGACGCGGCCGGAGACGGTCCTGGTGTCAGGAGACAGAAAATCTGTCTTGACTGACTTGGTCATTGCTTAGTTTGGACCACGGTCTGTGTTGCCGAAAGCCCTCACTGCACTTGGCCGAGATCTCTGAGCCTTGTCAGGGTCCACATTCTGAATGTGTGATTTATAATAGGGAGAACCTGAAGGTCAGCATTTATTTTTTCTGGCCAGTGTCACTCGGCTTTGACGATGGAGGTGACAGGGTCTCATGTTAAAAGAACCCTTCCTTAAAACCTTGACCAGCCCAGGGCTCACACCACCATCCTGTGTCTGATACCCACCAAGAGTGACGTCTTTAAAAGTCAGTAATCCCAGCACTCGGGAGGCAGAGGCAGGCGGATCTCTGTGAGTTCGAGACCAGCCTGGTCTACAGAGCTAGTTCCAGGACAGGCTCCAAAGCCACAGAGAAACCCTGTTTCGAAAAACAAAAAACAAAACAAAACAAAACAAACAAACAAAAAGTCAGTGGAGGACTGGACAGATGGCTCAGTGGTTAAGAGTGGTTATGACCAGCGGTTGCTCTTCCAGAGGACCTGGGTTCTATTCCCAGAACCCACATGGTGGCTCACACTGTCTGTAACTCCAGTTCCAGGGGATCTGACACCTTTAAGTCCTGCATTCACACAGTACACAGACATACATGCAGGTAAAACACCCAGACACGTAAAAAACAAAACAAAAAAAAATCCCAAAACCTTTTTAGAAAAATAAAATAATCAGTATAAAAATTGTTACTTTTTTTTACTATGATGTCAATGGAAAGAAACAGTGAAAGATAAACAGGAAAAGATAAAAACCTTCAACTTAATGGAGAAGGAAAGAACCAGCGTCGTTTTGTAGATTGGTAAATAGTGACTACAAGAGGGTAGATAATTATTTGCTGGAATACCCGAGATCCGCTTGCCTCTGCCTCCCAAGTGCTGGAATTAAAGGCATGCACCGCCGCCCCCGCCCCTCTCCCCAGCTGAGACTGGTATTCTTTAAGGGGCTGCATTTTTTTTTTCCGGGCGACTGCTTATGTCAGCCTGCAGACAAAGATGCCGGGTATGCAGAGCTGAAGGTGGATGTAACCACTCCACAGCTCAAGCTCAGTTCATTAGCAAAGACCTGACGTTACCAACCTGGGTAGCACAGTCGCCCGTGACTTTTAAAAAGGGGCCAAGTAAGAAAACAAGCGTTCCTGGGTGCCTCAAATGGTTTCAGAGCCCAGGCTGGCGTTCAGCCCGCGTGCTTCCTCTGCTGGACACCTCTGTATAGCAACAGTAAGCCCTTCGCGTCTGTGCGGTCTGGAAACCTCCCTTAGAAAGGTGAGATGGGCCTGTGCGTGCATGTGCACACGCGTTTCCACTTCTGCAAGAAGAAACGAAGATTCCAGCGTGATGGCAACCGGCTTTAATACCAGCACTCCAGAGGCAGAGACAGGAGGATTTCTGTGAGTTCCAGGACGGCCAGAGTCACACAGTGAGACTGCCTCCAAACACACAAGCAAAAACAGAACAAACCCAGAGGCGATAAGGACAGAGACCAATTCAGTTCCTGGAGGCCCAGTTGGCTGCAGTATCAAGCAACGTGCCAAGGTGCCCTTCGAAGGACCTTAGAGTCTAACTGAGTCTCCGGAATAAGAACCATGTATGCCTCCAAACCCAGTGGTCCCAGGCTAAGTGTTTTATAGAACCATTACCACCTGAACAAATGCAGGCTTGTTTTTAAGGAAGCTACCATCAAGGTATTCTTTCTCTTTGTTTGAGAAAGGATTTCTGTGTAACCCTGGTTGTCCTGGAACTCAGTAGACCAGGCTGGTCTCGAACTCACAGAGATCTACCTAGGCATATCAAGGCATTCTTTTGCCTTCCTTCCTTCCTTCCTTCCTTCCTTCCTTCCTTCCTTCCTTCCTTTCTGTCTTTGAGACAGGGTTTCTCTGTAGCTTTGGAGCCTGTCCTGGAACTAGCTCTTATAGACCAGGCTGGCCTTGAACTCACAGAGATCCACCTGCCTCTGCCTCCCGAGTGCTGGGATTAAAGGTGTGCGCCACCACTGCCTGGCTCAAGGCATTCTTGATGACAGCAGCTAGATCTCCACAGGTGATGGGTCCTGTGTCCTTGCACGCACCCCTCTCTAGGCGTGGAACCCCAGGCCCCTCACCCACATATCCACACCCCTGTGAAAGCAGGAGGACAGAGAAATGGAGATGCTTGGGTGGGAATGGGGAGTGGGTTTTTTGTACATCCTGGAAGCCTCTATTCTTGGCATCAGCCTGTATCTCTAGCAGGAAGGAGATGTCTAAATAATCCAGGAAGAGAAAGCCTGTCACCCACATTTTCTTGCAACAATAAACACATTCCAAGTTCCAGGGCAGAGTCTGAGGGGAAATAGTAGGATCATTCTTTGTTAATGGGTCTGGGCAGCAGACAGTTCATCCAGGGCAATCTCAGGGTAAACCCAGCGATAGGATTGTACGCCCAGTGTCAGCTGACTCTACCTTGGCTGTCTTTGTCATTCCCTCTGTGGGGTCCTCTTGGTTCTTCATGGGAGTCAGTTTCATCTCCATGTTCCTATTGGGTTTATACACCACAAAGAATAAGGAGACAAAATAAGTGCAAACATCCCTCTGTCCATGCCCTCCAGGTAAAATGGACTAAAGTTTCCTTAGCTGTCCCCCAACAGCCTTTTCTTTTCTTAGTAGTGTTTAGTGGGGATGGTGATGATGAAGGCAAGGATGAACATTATTGATGTGGGAGTTCCCTCTGTATGCTTGGAAACAATTAATGAATAAAGAAACTGCCTTGGCCTGTTGATAGGGCAGAACTTAGGCAGTCAGGGAAGACAGAACTGAATGCTGGGAAAAAGAAGGGTGGAGCCAGAAAGACGCTATGGAGCCAGAGACAGATGCTGGAAATTTTTACCCGGTAAGCCACTGCCACGTAGCAATATACAGAGTAATAGAAATAGGTTAAATTAATGTAAGAGTTAGCCAATAAGAAGCTAGAGCTAATGGGCCAAGCAGTGTTTTAATTAATACAGTTTCTGTGTGGTTATTTTGGGGCTGAGCAGTCGGGTGGCTGGGACAAACAAGTGGCCTCCCTCCTCCTACAGAGTATCTTTTTTTTTTTTATTATCAAGACAGGGTTTCTTTGTGTAACTATGGCTGCCCTGGACCTCTCTCTGTAGACCAGGCTGGTGTAAAACTCGCAGAGATCCGCCTGCCTCTGCCTCCCGAGTTCTGGGGTTAAAGGCATGCGCCACCACCACCTGGCTGGGGTAGTACATTTTTAAGGTGTCTCTTTCCAGTGTACAGTTGGATCAAGAACCTCTGTCCTCCTTTAGTGGTTGGAGGGCAGCCCCTTAAAACCATAGCAGGCAGAGTTGGTGACCCAAAGAGAGCCCCATGCCGATGATATGCAGCTGCTCCCGGCTTTTGCACCCAGAATGGAAGGAAATAGCCCATATGGCCTACCAGCTGGAGACCAGTTAAGTGAATTATGGTGATTTAGGAAGAACAAGGTAACTCTCTGAGTTGACACAGAACCGTATGAAATCTCAGAATAAGATCCTGAACAGTGTGTAGTAACACTCCAGTTTCCATGAAAATCTGCCCTGCTAGCTATGTTTGTCTGTATTGCATTCTACACTCAGTGAGGGCACACCGGGCCAGGCACGGTGTACACGCCTGTAATCCAGGTACTCCGGGGGTGGAGCGAGTGTGTAACATCAGAAGGTCAACGTTACCCTCAATTACATAGTGAGTGTGAGGCCGTGAGCCCCATCCACCCCCAAGAAATAAAAACAAAAGGACTCTGAGTGTATTTCAGATTCAAAACATGAACTGAAAACTAAAACGAATCCCGGTACTCAGGAGGTAAACAGAGACGCTCAGATGTGTTACTTCCGTTGCTATGACAAACGCCTGGGAGAGACAAGGGAGAAAATATCTGGTTTCATAGTTTCCACGGAGTCAGTTCTGTGTGGCAGGAAGGCATGGAGACAGCATGCACCGTGGCGGCCGGGGAGCACGCAGACAGCGTTCACAGCGTGTCACTCCCAGTGGCTCTCCCCTGTCCATGTTTAATTCCATCCTGGCCTCCAGCTTATGGGATGAGGCCACCATGTCCAGGCTTTCCCCCCTGTAGTTAGTCCTCCCTGGGAATGCCGTCACAGACACGCCCAGAGATGCCCTTTACTCATCTCCTGGGCATGCCACCCAGTCAAGTTGGCATTCACAGCTTCAAGGGAGGCCCTGTCTGAAAAATCCAAACCAAGAGCTGGGGGTGTAGATATGCGGCAGAGCACTTAACTAGCATGCAAGGGCCTGGGTTCAAATCTCCAGCACCACAAAGCCCAAACAGACAACAACAAGACACTAAAATGAAATCAGTAAACTGAGTGATCAAGCCACAAGTATCTTAAATGCTTGGAATTAGTAGTGTTTCAGGGTTTGCACACAAAGACACACACATACACAGACACACAGAGACACAGACACATAGACATACAGACACAGACACACAGACATACAGACACAGACACACTCATACATATACACACAGACACACACAGAGACACGCATGTACACAGTCACACAGAGACACACACATACACAGAGACACAGACACACACATACACATACACAGAGACACAAGAGACATAGACACACACACATACATATACACACACAGACACACACACACAGACACACAGACACATACAGTCATATACACACACACACAGACACACACATACACATACACAGAGACACAAGAGACATAGACACACACACATACATATACACACACAGACACACACACAGACACACAGACACATACAGTCATATACACACACACACAGACACACACACAGACAGCCACACACAGCCACACACATACACAGAAACACACACACATACACACACATACACACAGACACATACACACAGACAATACACAGCCACATACAGACACACACAGATACACACAGACACACACACAGACACACACACACGTTTTGAATTTTGGAATATATACAAACAAATGATGAGATATCATTCGGGAAGGAAACTCAAATGCACACACAAAATTCACTTATGTTTCAGATACATTTCACGCACACAGCCTGAGGATAACTTTACACACCATTTTAAAAGTGCATTTACGTTGTGACCTATCCTATGAGCTCAGACCCGGAACTTTCCATTTGTGGCCCTCCTTTCATTATTCAAAGATTTTCGGATTTGGGAGCATTTCAGATGTCACAATTTTGGGGTTATCGACACTCATCTTGTTGAGTGAGCAAAACAGATGAAGATTCAAATCCCAGCCCTGTAACCTGCCTAAGCCTTTCGCTTGTCCGCTGCCCCTTCCGCAAATGACATTTACCTGCCGTGTGCCAAGGACTGCATGAGGCACTGGGGACACAGGGTTGAAAGATCTATTTGCAGAAAGCTTGCTTTCCTGTAGCAAGACGACAAGAATCCTCACAGTTCTGGGACGGAGTGTAAATGTTGTGACAGGTCCAGGTTTCCTTGGGACCTCAAGGGAGGTGAAGTTAAATTAGGCTCAGTAGGGTCTGTTTACCAGTAGGCAGAGTATGAAGTCTTGCAGGAGCAGGAAGGCAGGGCAACTCCAAACAGAGGGAACAGCGTGGGGCGTGTGTGTGTGTGTGTGTGTGTGTGTGTGTGTGTGAGCCTGGCGGCTGCAGTAGCAAACCATGTAAACCGGACACAGGCGACATTTGGTGCTATGCATGGGACAGTTTTGGAGTTTTAGAAAAACCGAATGTTATACCTTTCTGCTAATAAAAGAAATACACCTTCGAAGGTGGGAACTGCACAGTCAGAGAGAGCATGGAAAGATTTTTTTTTTTCTTTTTAAAGCAAATTGCCGTAGTTCTGTGTTTAGGATGGGCAAGGACAGCCATGTGGAGTTCGAGGCCTGGGTGGAAGCCATTAGAGTAACGAACACTGTAAACTCCCAGGCAATTCTGGGACGCTGTATGAGGCAGTTCCCAGTGACTCATGGGTGGTGGAGTCTAAAGCTTGCTCTCAAGTCCAGACCAGGGAACTACTTAACTCCCAAGCCTCAGTTTCTACAACTGCCAGTGAGCCAGGTTCTGGTCAAGTGGTCTGAAGCTCTCATTTGTCCTTGGAAAACCTCCACCAGCCTCGACTTCCGCCCTCAAACGGGGCCCGCCATCTGGGCACAGCGTCTCTAGAAGCACAGTAGGCTTCGCCAGGGTTTTGCTGGGAAGGGGGTACAGAAGGCAGAAGGGGAGCTTCTGTATGTCTGTCTCCAGTTGCCTAGATGCCTTGTCATGGAACCTCAGGCCCTCCGTCAGTGGGATGACAGCAATAATAAGTAATACACAGAGAGCTGGACCCAGTGACGAACACTTGAAGTCCTGGCACTTCAGAGGTGGAGGCAGGAGGATCAGGAATTCAAGGGCATCAGCTACGTAGTTCAAGGGTAATCCGTACTACAAAAAAGACCTTACTGAAAATAGATGGTAGACGTTACATAGACTTCCCTAAATGTTCAACTTGGAAGATAGATTTGGAAATTCTGTGTCACATGACAATTGATACTTCAAAGCAACAATTAATTCTTTAATTTTTTTCATTTATTTCATGGGTGTGTATGTATGTGTGTGTGTGTGTGTGTGTGCGGGAGGGGCTGGAGAGATGGTTTAGTTGAAAACACTGTTAGCTCCCTTAGAGGACCCAGGTTCAATTCCTAGCTCCTACATGCCAGCTCACAGATGTCTGTTACCTCAGTTCTGGGGGACCAGACACCCTCACACAGAAATACATGCAGGCAAATACATACATAAAATAAATTTTAAAAAAGAAAGAGGCCTGGAGAGATGCTTCAGAGGTTAAGAGCACTGGCTACTCCTCCAGAGGTCCTGGGTTCAATTCCCAGCAACCACATGGTGGCTCATAATCATCTGTAATGAGATCTGGTGCCCTTTCTGGCCTGCAGACAAATATGCAGGTAAAATCCTGGGTACATAATAAAAAAGAAAGAAAGAAATGAAAACATGCTGGGCAGTTAGTGGCGCACACTTTTAACCCCAGCACTTGGGAGGCAGAGACAGGTGAGTTCCAGCCAGTCTGATATACAGAGTGAGTTCCAGAACAGCCAGGGCTACACAGGAAAACCCTGTCTTGAAAAATCAAACAACAACAACAACCCCAAAATCCAAACAGATCCCTGCTCCTTCTAAGGCTCTGAGGCCAGAACAAAGACGTGAATTAAATTCCTCACAGACGCCGCGCAGAGAGACCTCGGTCAACATTGTGTGGCTTTCCATCCTAGCTCCCTGCATGTTGGCCATGCCATGGGTTGTCTGTGAGCCTGGGTTTCTCCTGAGTGCAGGGGAATCTGAATTCTCACTGGAGAGATGGGTGGGGAAGTTTAAACAAGTTTCAGCGTGTGAGGGACTCAGCCAGCGAGTGTTTATTTCTTCCTCCCCTGGGCTGAGTCTGTTACAGACGTGAACCTGTTTTCAAAACTGTTATTTTATGCAGTTCTCACCTCATTGCTGGGAAGCAGGTGTGGAG